GACTTTTTTGCCGTATGAGTATACGTTCCCCAGGGTGTACTATCGCATACCCCATAATTAGCTTTATATAAGATTTCAATAAACCAGCGGGCTCTGGCCCACACAACTCCTGTTTCGGTTTCTTTCTAAATGGTGATAGCTGAAAAATGTTACTCTTAGATATATCAATCAATCAATGGAGGAGCCCTACCAACTACGGTCTTTCTGCGTTTTTTCAAAATTGTTTCTTAATCCCACTCTCTTTGGGTTTTTCCTCCACCAAGCGACAGGGATATCACTATTTCTCCATAACTCCAGATACCCTATCTACCATATCTAGATGACTTCACCGATTACTCTTTCTTTTCACAACTGTCCCATTTAGATTAAAAGAATGCCTGCAACCACACCCACATACAAAGTGACTTATAAATCGTCATTGTAATTCTAAACACGTGCTGATACGGGTAGAGTTATCCTCTCACACCCTTCCTCTCCACCTCTCTGTTACTCGCTGGAAACTTCGTCGTGATTTATTCAACATGCTTTGGCCTAACCACCTCCTTGTGTTCTACATTTTGGAATTGTTGTTTGCTTTCGTTAGCTGTTGTCCAAGGTATTCCCCTCTTCGGTCTGGTTCCGGTTGATTATTTCTCAAAAAAACCCACTCGTATGTAAAGCTGAATTTTGTACAATGATAGTTGAATGAAGTCACCTTTGCTCTATCTACTCGTTTTTTAAGCATATCGGTTGCTATATAACATGGCGGGGTCTTAGTTTAATTGCTTATACTATTAAATATAGCCTAGGCATGACTGAATGTCCATGTTTGCAAATCAACCTCACCAATTCTTCAATCCTCTGATTGAGTTGACCCAGTTTTTGCCTTTTCTCAGTTCTTTCATTTTCGAGGGAGATTCGTAAGTGCTCATTCTCCTGACGAAATTGGGAAAGAAGGCTCTTTTCTGAAATTGCATTAAAATAACACATTGGAAAAAAAGGTTAATAAATTCTGAATCATTATATTTTAAAATCTACATGATTCTTTTATTTCTTAGTTTAAAAAAACCGATTTAGATGAAAATAAGTAAGAGACATACAAATTTTATTGTTTTAGTAGGATTGAACATCTGAAAGTTTATATTTGTTATAGAAATTTAAAACTATCAAAACTCGCCTTCCTTCAAACGCCCAATCTCCTCAAATGCTTCTTTAAGTCGTCTAGAAGTAAATATAATAATTAATTGGCCTGATTTATTAATACTATATATTTCAGTATATTTATATCATTATACCCCTTCAAGGTACTAGCTTCATGAGAGGCTGCTTTAAACTTCATTTTCAACGTTTGATAATCAGTTAACTATAAAGAAAATGCGTGTAAATTCGATTGACGAAAAAGGCTTCACCTACTTCCATTTCAGTGAAAAGAGCCGACTTTTCGGCTAAGTCTTTTTGGAGTGCCGCCATGTGCTGCACTTTAGCGTCCAGCGTCTCTTTTTCAACTAGAAAATATTTAATTTTTAAAAATCAATAAAATGAACAAAATCGTTTACCCTTGATTTGAGACTCGGCGATTTCAATATCCTTCCTCCTGTCAATTATCTCCAGTTCGTCACACTTTCGTAGCCTAAAGCGGTCGGTAAGGTGTATAATTAAAAAGAAATAAAATGGGTAAAAGATAAGGGTTTTCGAAACATCAACTTTAAGAATTTACCCTCAATCTTGGCATATTTTGTCACAGTTAACACTTTCATTTATCAATCTTTGTAAGCAAATGAGTAAGGAGAACACTAGATAAGACAATTGGGTTGGGGGGGGGGGGGG